CGCCGCTCCTGGCCACCGCAGCCTCAACCTGCTGGGCTCTGGCGATCCTTCCGCCTCAGCCTTCCGAGTAGCTGGAACTACAGGCGCGCTATCACGCCGGGCTCATTTTGATTTATTGTAGAGATGAGGTCTCGCCAAGTTGCCCAGGCGGGTCTCGAACCTGCGGGCTCAGGCAATCCACTCTGCTCAGCCTCCCAAGGCGCGGGATTACAGGCTGAGCCACCGAGCCCGGCTCAGAGTGGGGCTCTTAAGCAGTGTCATCTAGGCCCCACCATTGCATAGAATGCAACCAACATGACTGTCTATAGAATACTGGGTTCTGGGACCGACATGAGGATGTAATTTAGTGATTCCTAGCTTGATAGATGATTGTAAAAGTAGACTGGTGAAGTCAAGTCAATTCACACTTCTCAAGCGCCTGCAGAAAGTGTCAACAGTGCCCATTTGACCATAGCATCCGATCTGGAAGATTGCTTTTCCTAAGCTGGGTATTTTAGTCTCCTGCATCTAAAGGCTCCAGGAGGCAACTTCTAGCTCCAACCACACACTCCCCCATCAGGTACTAAGCTGTTGCTGTCTTTAGAAATATTTCGTAGCGCTGTAAGTCCCAAGATTGCAGGTGCTACCCACTTTTACTTTATATTGGCTCTGATAAATGAATGGCAATCTGAATTGATACTAGTTAAGAAGAGACTAAGTTTATTTTCTTAGGTTGAAAAATACCCCCACCCACTGCCTCCAGCCCCTACCAAGTGGTGGAATACAGACTCCAAGTAAGAGTGATGGGTTCACTAAGTCAACTTCCAGCTCATGAAGCTGAGGGAGCCTTGTTATGCTTCTTCTGGCATTGGAAAGATCACTTGCTACCTCTGCTTTGCATGTTCCTGAAGTTCTACTTTTCTTTCTTGAAATTTTGAGACTCGTGGGGTACACGTGAGGATTTGTTATGTAAGTCTATTGCGTGAAGGCAAGGTTTGGGCTTGACAAACCCTCCCTCCCCAGTTGTAGGCATGGTACCCAATGGGTGGTTTTGTGTCCCTTATCCTCCGCCCTTTCATCAGTGCCCAGTGTTTAGTATACATTTATGAGAACATGCATTTTTTTGTGTGTGAAAATCACTTAGAATGAGGGTCTCCAGCTGCATCCATGTTGCTGCGAAGGCCATGATTTGTTCTTCATGCAATTTTCTTTTATTAAAGCACATTTCATTGCCTAGTTATTTCAGAAGCATTACAAAGCTTGCTCCCCATCCATTTGGACGCTGGACATTGATTCTCAGTGCTCTTGCGTCATGGAGCTGGACACACTGTTTTGCAAAATGATCTCTAGATGAGGCCTCTTGGCCCCTTTTCACGTATTTAAGGATATCAAATAACTCATGCAACTATGTTAGCCTTTTGATGACCTTGAGTTTGCTTGTTGTGAGAACAGAGACCTTGATAACACAGAGATGCACAGGAGGTCTCCACGTAGGCTAAATAAACTAGTTTCTTTAGGTTTGTTTTTATCATTTGCTTTTCTCTAGCTGTGTTTTGCTGAACGGAACGGCATTCTCATCAGAAGCAAGAAAACATCCTTTCCTAGGACTTTTCAGTTCTTGGAGGGCCACATATTAGCAGAACAAAACATTTGATATGAGACCTAGGTGATAGTTTAAGGGAGAAATGTGTTTTAGTACACAAAGTTCATAATGTTCTTTTTCATATACATTTTACAATAAATACTCATACTCTTTCTAGTAGTCCTTCCTAGAAAAAAAAATTTTGTTACTTAAAATTGGTTGTTTTTCTTTTTTTGAGTCGGAGTCTCACTCTGTCGCCCAGACTGGAGTGCTGTGGCCGCTCCCGGCCACCGCAGCCTCACCTGCTGGGCTCCAGCGATCCTTCCGCCTCAGCCTTCCGAGTAGCTGGAATTACAGGCATGCGCTACCGCACCCGGCTGATTTTTTCATTTATCGTAGACATGAGGTCTCGCTGCCCAGGCGGGTCTCGAACCCGCGGGCTCAGGCAATCCACTCACCTCAGCCTCCCAAAGGCGCGGGATTACAGGCTGAGCCACCGAGCCTGGCAAAACTGGTTTTCTGAAGCTGAATTTAGTCAAGTGTTATGATCCTCCCCATCACCCTTTTAAGGAAAAAAACATTGGGAAGTCTTTGGGAGAATACATCAAGGTCCCCATAATTACAGTAACCTAGATGGAAAAGCCTAGGTTTGAAGTCATTCTTTTATAATTGTTATCTCCTTTAGGTTAGGAAAACTGAGATATCCTCATTTAATTCTCCTATTTTACAAATGAAGAAATTATGGGTCAGAGTAGTAAAATTATACGGGGACTGAGGTTCTGTTCCAACTATCACAAGATTGCTAGAAGGTGCAGTAATGCAAAAATAGGACACAAGACTGCCAGTGACAGTTTTAGGTGCTTCATATTAATGTATGCAAATTTGACAAACAGCTATGAATCATTCCCAAGGCAGTATTTTAAAGCAAGCTTTGATATATTTTATATTGAGATAAAATGAGGAACTCAGATATTCCAATACTTCCAAATGTCACATCCTAAAGTTCAAAGCTAGTATTAGCTTTCTATACAGATATTTCAGTGAAAAAAAGAATTATGACTAAGCCAAGAACTTCCAGTTTTATTTTTTAAACATCATTTAACAAGAAAGACATTCAACCAAATGTTAAAAAATTAGGCTGGATTAATTTACAATAAAATAATCAACTTAAAATATCAGCCCTTTCATTTAGGGCCACAGAGGCCAATAGTTCCCATTTAAACAGCAGAATTGCACAACTGATATTTTAACCTATATCTGGTGGCACAGAAATATAAAAGTCATACAACCTCCACTGACGCCCTCTCCCTCCCTCTAGAGCACATACATTTGCATCTCAGGTCAGTACTCAGGCTTTTAAACATCATCTTACATTTTGAAATATAATACAACTACTCTGATAACAAGAGTACTTTTTAAACAATTCTTATAGAAAACAAACACCTTAAAATAATGTTGTGGCACATTAGACTGCTGAAAGAAACAGCAAAGATGAAAAATAATGTACAAGAATTATAGTCCCTTGTTTACAGAAACCATCCAAATGAAACATTTCCCCTAATTAATTATCATTGCTTCTTAATAATTTGTTAGAGATGAATTACAAGAAGCAGAATGCACCATTTTTTGGTTCTTGGCTGTAGCTGCCAGCTTAAGAGTTCATGACTGTAAATATCAAGCAAAATGATTATGCTCACAAATTCTGGAATGGGAAAAAAAAAAATCTCTTTAAAGTGTTTCTCTATCCTTGCTTTCAAGTCATGACAAAAAAAATTCACAGCAGTTTAAAGGATGATGAAGGACTGAACACGGGACCCACTAAAAGGAAGTTGAGATTAATTTTACCTAATATACTCTTAAAACAAAAACTGTCATAAGTGTGATACTGTATTACCAAATAACATTTTATAGGAAGCTGTTGGAGCAAATACAGCATTTAACAGATTCATTTACAGATTAGTTAGGCACAAGAGCCTTTAGACAGAACATCTTATTTTCACTCTTGAACATGCGACCTTTTAAAAAAACAAACACAAAGAAATATGTACTTTATGACAGCTGACCAGGCACTTAACTTGGGGAATGAGACTTTCAGATTTTGAGGTAAACGAGAATTATTCTCAGCAATCACAAACATATTCTAAAAACCACACTTTATGCCACCCTGAAGTTATTCGGCTCTTAATTAGAAGTTTGTCATTCTATTGTGCCAAAATTCATCCCTAAGTGTAACTTCTTAATTTTGGCCCCAGATACATCTGTGCTAGAACATACGTGAGAAAACTAGAGGGTACATACACACAGGAGCTATTGGCACAAGAGCCCAAGACGAGTAACGATCTTTCTCCCTAATTTGACGTTAAATTTAATGCTTTTTAGAAAGAGTCACACTGCCAGTCACGGACACTTAAAAAAAGAATCAATCTAGCTCCAGAAAAATCATAGAGCAATTGTTGCTCCAAACAGAGCGGAAACGAAGCAGCAGAATGTCTGCTTACAGATGACAGTACCGGCCAGCTCTCAGATGAGCACTAGGGAGCACAACTCCGCCGGGCTTACTATTCTCTGGGCACGGCGTATGTTCCCTCCTTTCTTCTGAGTTCTTTTCAATGTAATTTGGAGTTGCCTTAATAAATGAAAATTTGTATTAGAAGATGGAGGACCTCAGTAAATATTTAGACATTAGAAGACCAGAACAGAAAGTGGCCACTTTGGAATTAGTCTTTTATCGAAAGTTACCCAAGTCTATTTCTCATTAGAATTACTAGGGTATTATCTGCAAATGGAAATGCCGAGCTTCCAAATCCTCATAACTATCCATTCATTATATTTCCCATTTGTGTCTCTAGTAGTCCAAAGACTACTTCTTGTTTTGAACAAACTCTTCAGCTTAGACGGATTTATCAACATCTTGATTCAAACCCGTTCAAGAACATTAAGTAAAAGAAACTTAAAACATTTTTTGCCTGTGGCATCCTCATTCTTAAAAAAAGAGAAAAATATATTGGTTTAATTTAGAATTTCCATGTGGCTTTAAAAATAGGGTTTAAACACTTTATAAAGACTTCCGAGCTGACCTCCCTCACGATACCAAGCTTTTCCAGTCACAGTATAAGGGCTCGTGCCGACCTCTTTTTTCATTGCCGGGCTAACAGCAGCACCCAGCAAAATTACCAGCTGGGGTTACTGGTGCAATGAGCAAATGTAGAAGGATTTCTCTCTCTGTGATGCTAACTGGCTTGTTCAAGTTTGAAAACTGTGACCCTGTTCCATTAGCACCATGCTTTACTCCCTATTGCTGTGAGGTGAGGGTAATTATATATACATCATTAGGATACCATGATATACAGCGAAAATGTAATTTGTCTGCTAATATACTATATTTGAGGTTTGAAAATCAATGATCACAGCTACTAAATAACACCACATCAGATTTTTACAGTATTTGAACACTTACACATGTAGAGTTTTCTAGTATGACCCAAATTTGAATACAAATGGAAGTTCATGAAACATTAGGTTATCAGTACGCTAGAGGAAACAGATTACATACATTGTATAGGTAGTAACCTACAAAAGAAATGGAGGTTAAGTAAAAATTAAGTGAAATTCATGTTTTCAGTTTCTTTTTTCTCCTGGGAAAGACCAAAGATAAGCCTCTGGAAAACCAACTTCATACATGTATGAAATGGCATCTGCTATCAACAGGTATAGCTTTCCCTCAAAGGCAGGCAAGTCATAGACATATCTCAGACATTCATTTTCATGCAAAATGATTTTTGAGACATCTATTCAACTGAAGTACTGTAAAGTAAGTCTACAAACCACTTCTAGGAAAAAGGCACTTCATTGTGAAAGCTGGATTTAATTACAGGGAAGTCAAAAAGACTAGGATAGACTCCAAAGTCAGTATTCACTTTTGTATTTATGAATACAGAGCAGATGCCAGTTTATAGAATAGAGGTGATAACATTACAAAAAAACCAAACAGCGACATTGATGATATTCTCGGCAAAACAGTAATTTTTGACACTTCTCATAGTTGTACGTTCAACAGTAAAAAAAAAAAAAAAATCATCAGCAGTTGCTACTTTAGAGCTCAAGATACTGTTTTTAATAGAATTTCATGTTTACATGAAATCCAGTTCTCTGTTTCAGAGCACGAATTGCTTTTCAAATGAAAAACATGGGGTGGCAGAGGTGTGTGTGGGAAGGACCCAGGGCAGAAAAATACCAGGGAGGAGCAAGAGTGCATTTCTCTGGTCAGACACCCAAGTGAGGAGGTAGTTACTCTGAGAACTTCTCCAACAGAGAACATTGTACTGATGTACTGAGAGCTGGGAAGTAGCAGAAGCTTCTCTGCAAGACTGAAGATAGCAACAGGAATACTTCTCCTCCAGGAATGCCAGGACCAGGGTGTCAGTGCAGCTGAAACAAAGATGGAATCTGCGTAAGTGACAAATACAGAGTATAAGAAGAATAAGTTTAAGAAATTAAGCCAGGTGCAGTGGCTATGCCTGTAATCCCAGCATTAACACAATGAGACTTTGTCTCTACAAAAAAATTAGCCAGGTGTGGTGGTGCTTGCCTGTAGTCCCAGCTACTTAGGAGGCTGAGGTAGAAGGATCCCTTAAGCCCAGGAGGTTGAGGCTGTGGTGAACAATGATTGTACCACTGTACTCCAGTACAGACAACAGAGTGAAACCCCAACTCAAAAAAAAAAAAAAAAAGAAATCAACATGAATGATAATACATTTCCAAACTTGTCCTACCTTGAAAGTGGCTCTTTTCTGATGACAGAACTTTAAAAGTATCTGCACAAAAAGAATACAAAACATTACCATTTAGTTTTGAAACAGTAATTCTTCAAATTCTTGGTCAGTGCCAGGAATATGGTATGCCTACATTTCATAAATAATGTCTTCTAATTTCTAATGTTATAAAAAATATTAAGATGTCTGCAGAATAATTAGCTGTTTTAAAAATAATTCAGAGACCAATACTTTCAGAAAGGGTACAGTCAGGAAAACATGCATTAGAGAGTGCAGTAGGCCACAATTTCTAGTTAAATAACAACATACAGACGTAACCCTAACATGCCTCTAAACTGCCTGATGCTAAGTACTGAGGTTTACGACTGTGTCAAACCACATGCGCACCTTGTTACATCACCACACACGGCAACCCCATACAACCTTGAGTGCCGTCATCACTGCTGTTGAGTTTTTTGACTCGGTACTGACGTATTTCTCTTACCAGTGTGTAAAAGGCATCTTCGACGCCCTGTAAAAGGAAAAAAAAGTGAAGGAAAATGATAAAGACAGTTCAACTGACACAATCTAAATTGTAAGCTGTCTCTCATTTATATTTCTTTATGTGAATGTAAAATCACAACTACTAAATTAATTGCTGATAAAATAGGGTGATTTAGGCAGTGGATACCAAATGTAACATTCCTATCGAATCACATAAACAGGCTGATATGAAAATGGCACATTTTGCCAAAAAACATTCAGGCAAAGGAAAAAACGTCATGTGGGATATGCAGAACAGAACTTCCAGATCTCCTGAAGATTCTGCTCAGGAGGCTTTAGCCCTAAAGAATGGCTGGTGTTGATGAAGAAAAAGCTACTGCCTCTAAGGATTTTTAGGCAAGGGTCTTCACTAGGAATATCTGTGGCTGTTGATGCAGGAGTAACAATGCCATATCAGACTATGACCGAGTTTGTTTTGGGTTTAAACAAAAGATTTTAAAAAACAGAACACTGTTAAAAATCCGTAACAACAAAGACTGTGAATTCAGATCACATCTCTACGAGAGTCAATCAATTGACATTCTTTGCCTTAAACAAGCTGTCTCGCAGATGTTGACAGCCTTACTATACCTGTCTGGTCTTGGCTGAGGTTTCAATGAATGGAATCCCGTAACTCTTGGCTAGTTCGTGGGCTTGTTTTGTATCAACTGTCCTTGTTGGCAAATCACACTTGTTTCCTACCAGCACCATGGGTACATCATCTGAGTCTTTTACTCGCTTGATCTGCTCCCTAGAAAAGGGAATATGTTATCAGAATACAAGAAAGACAAGTTTTCAGGAAGAAATAAAAAGCTAGGGCAAAAAATAAACTGGGAAATTTGATATAGCCCTATTCACTTCTAGTATGGAGTTTCACTTTTTTCCTACTATAGATGATCTTGTATACTACGGAGACTGATTTAGACATGATGCAGCAGCCATAGGACAACCCTAAGTACCAATTCACTTCCTACGAGAAGCACACGGCTATTTTATCCTGACACATGCCCCAGTTAGGCTCTTGGAGCCTCCAAAGAGGCTGGCTCTGGATTTAACTGGTAACTAGACGTTGCCCTCTAGATTAAGGTCTGAAGAATAAAGTAAAGCTCACTGTCTCTAATTAACTTTTTAAAGTTTCTGTGAGTGACAATTTAATAGAAGATAGTCTGTCTATTACTTTTCAAGATGGGCGGTGCTCAAACATTTTCTTCAAACAAAACTGTAGCTGGAAGCCCAACATATAAAATAGAAAACACTAGAACTGCTCTTAGTAAAGGGAGGCTGACGGATCTGGAACTCCCAACTGACAGCACTCCCTTCAGTGACATGGAAGACATACCATGCAGCATGGCTTGGAAATTATTGCTCTAGATAGTCCTGACCAACACTGTCCAAAAGAACTTTTTGTGATGATGCAAATGGTCTATATCTGTGGGCTGTCCAACATGGTAGCCCCTAGTCACTTGTAGTTATCGACTTAAAAAGTCAGCTGTTAACGTGGACGAGGGACTAGTTTTTAAATTTTAATACATTTAAATGTAAAAAACCACCACATATGGCTGTGGCTACCATACTGCATGGCACTGTTCTAGAGTACTCTTGAATTACTCACAAAGTCATATACCTGAAGTGCATTCCACTGGCTACTTGTAAAAGTGTGCTTTGGTGTGAAGGCAGGAGCCTATGTGAAGGGATAATCTAAGGCAGCCTCAAATGCCTAGATCATGTCACTGTCAGGTTATCACTGCTTTTTATATTAAACAACCCTCTTTGAGGACCCATGAGGAAATTTCCTTCAAGTCACAGTCTAATTCTGCTTTTTCTGAACAAATGATTTGATTTGAACATACATATACTGAATCTTTCAGGAGGCTACTTCCCTTCTCACAACAGATGCCACATTTGTAGGTACATCTTTAGGAAATCACTGGAGCTTCTTGCATACAACTACAGAATAAGCTCACTCCTAAGTCTGTTTGATTTCTTTATCTTTATTTTTTCTTTGCCTCATTTCTTAAGTCTACTTTTCATTAATTTTATCTTGTTATACTATGTATGTTTTTATAAGCAGCTTTAAATACTCTTTGATCTGGGATACAGCAGAAATAGAAAAATGAGTAAAGGCCTTGTAAGGAAAAATGACTTCTAAAAAGTCAATAAATATTTATTAGATGTTTGCCAAGTGTTGGGCATTTTATAAAGTACTGTTATTATTTTGAGAGAGGGAGAGAGAATGAAAAGTAGAATAGGTTTAGGAGAAAAACTGAACTCAGTTTTGGATCAGTTTGCTTCTGAGAGCAGACACCTTCCTATAGATGGGAAATAAGCCAGAACCCAAGGCTATAGTCAGAACACTTAAATAGCGCTACTGTGTGCCAGGCACTGTTCTGAGTGACTTACATATTTATTAGTCTGTTTAATCTTCATGATAACTCTGAGGTGGTTACTATTATTACTTCTACATTATAGATAAGGAAAGCTACATAGTGGCAAAGTCGCACAGCTAATAAATGATGGAGCCAAGTTTCAATTTTTTTTTTTGAGTTGGAGTCTCACTCTGTCACCCAGACTGGGGTGCAGTGGCCGCTCCCGGCCACCACAGCCTCGACCCGCTGGGCTCCGGCGATCCTTCCGCCTCAGCCTTCCGAGTAGCTGGAACTACAGGTGCGCGCTACCACGCCCGGCTCATTTTTTGATTTATTGTAGAGATGAGGTCTCGTCAAGTTGCCCAGGCGGGTCTCGAACCCGCGGGCTCAGGCAATCCACTCACCTCAGCCTCCCAAAGGCGCAGGATTACAGGCTGAGCCACCGAGCCTGGCAAAGTATACATTCTTAACCACTACACTACTGTTTAAAGAACAATGTGCTAAATGGAACCCTGGGTTTTTGGTCTTGGCTCTGCTAGTAGCAGCAATTATAACACCGAAACTTATAAACCATCTTCTGAACTCTATTTCTGATTCTATTAATATTAAGAAGGCTACTAGAATATTTTATGGCCCAATGTAGCTTTGAAGTGTCATGACTGTGGAAAAAGTTCATCTTTATGTTCCTTTGCCTTGGTTTTATCTTTATCTACTCCTCATTTGCTTTTCCCTGTCATCTTTACTATTACATACCAAAGGATGTTTCTTAGGTGTTTTCCTGTCTGAAATTCCTTTGCGATCTCTCATTACATCTCTAGCTCTAAATCATCACCAGCAGCAAGCTTCATTTATGTATTCGCAAAGATATAGTGACAGTATATTCCATAAAACAAATTTTTGCATTTCTTTCAGTAATTACCCTAGTTCTCAATGTCAAATCACCAAAAAACAATCTTCCCATAATTAAAAATCCGTATCTTCCCTAGAATCATATCTCCATTTCCCCCACAAAGTTTCAGAACACACTTAAAGATGATCCTTCCAGAAAAAAAACCACGTTCCTAGTACCTGTAGAGGTTAATATCTGCAAATGACTTGCTATTATTGATGGCAAATACACAGAGGAAGCCTTCGCCTGTCCTCATGTATTGGTCTCTCATGGCACTGTACTCTTCTTGTCCAGCTGTATCCAGTATGTCCAACAGACAGGTTTCACCATCTATAACCACCTGCTTTCGGTAAGAATCCTGGGGGTATGGAGGGCAGGGGGTAGGGAGGGAGGGAGATTCAATTTTTGTTAAAAACCACAGGGAATGCAATGCTACTGCCAAGGTTAAATAAGCTCCTAACTATTCAAGCCCACGGCTGTCTACCTGGTTTGCCTCTCACACTGCTAATATGTCATCACAAACAGAAACTATTCAATGTCATCCTAAACAAACAAACAAAACAATCTTTTATGCCTGCAGAGAAGAAAATGTGGTTACTTTCCTGTACCTGGAAAAGATGAAAAAAAGCATGGTAGCTCAAATGACAACTCTACTGCAGCCTGGAGACTAGAGGAAAACTTCACAGTGTATTTCACTAAACCATGAACTGACTGTTTTGTGTTGCTTGTTTTACTTTAAAAAATCTAAACATACTTGTATCAATTATAACCTAGCCCTATATACAGCATCACTTGTGTTTATGATTAAATACGCAAATACCTTTTGTTTCAGGGAAGGTCAGGCTGCCCCCAATTTTTCCCTCAAGATAGCGGTAACTTTGGGAAATTTCTTAAGGTCCCTAACAAGATATCGTTCTAATTATTTCTTCAGGAAGACAAATATGCATAAATCAGATTAAAAAATACTTCCAACTGTTGCTCTGCAGCAACAATTTTACTTGTATCTAAAAATGGCATCACTTAAATTTACGTATTTTCATTACATTAATCCTCCCAATAAATAAAACTGACGAATATTAAAATACTACTTAAAATATTAAAAATCTAAAATGTAATATAAAATCGTTGAGTCTGAAATAAAGATTTGCCAAGGATCAGCAATTTTTAACAGTGCCTAGATTGGAGTTAGTCTGCATTAATTAAGAACTCAGGTGCCAAGGGGTAAGGAGGGTGGATGTGCACTAAAGTAATCTCCAGAGCTAAACATTTCTAAGTTGAACAAAATTACAAAACATTTTGTTTTTGTTTTCTGAGTCGGAGTCTCACTCCGTCGCCCAGACCGGAGCGCGCGCTGCCACACCCGGCTGATTTTTGATTGACTGTAGAGACGAGCTCTCGCCAAGGTGCGCAGGCGGGTCTCGAACTCGCGCGGGCTCAGGCCATCCACTCGCCTCGGCCTCCCAAGGCGCGGGATGACAGGCGGAGCCACCGAGCCTGTAACGTGGACTCCCACGGTACAACAGAACCTCGTGTAAGTACTATTACGTAGTGCTTGACCACTCACGATTTAAACATCGTACTTAACTTTGCTTAACATCCCCGTGTGGTAGGTAGGACAAGTTCCTGGTAACTTAATACATGGGGAAAATGAGGCTCAGAGAGATGAAGAGACTTGCTCGCTATCACATAACTAAATAAGCTGCAAACGGACAGAAAGCCCAGGCGAGTGAATCAAAACCTCAGGTTCTCCCTCCTCCAACCCAGCCTCAGCTGCTTCGACTAGCTGAGAAACGAAAATCGAGGCACACTCAGATCTCCGCAGTCTTCCTCTCCGTCCCGCTACTATCGGATCAGACCGTCTCGACTGTGGCCTGGGCTTCTCGTGAATAGAGCTGTCATATACGAGGGGACTCATGCATGCATGGACGAGCTCCACACTGGCTTCCACAACCGTTAAAACTGTGAACGTCGAGAGACTCCTCAGCAGCGGACGAAAGTGACCCGTGCGGCATGCACACGTCAGCTCAATTCGCTGGGCGACCGGCGGCAGGACCCAGAACCTCCTCTCGCCTTCTCTCGGCCACTCCGGCCACGCACGAACAGGTAAAGGATACGGGCGGGGGCGAGCCGAAAGCCAGCCGGGGTCAGGTCAGCGGACGACGCTGGGCCTCACCTCGATGGTGGGATCATATTCGTCCACAAAGTGGTTCTGGATTAGCTGGATAGTCAGGGCGCTCTTCCCAACACCGCCTGCTCCAACCACCACCAGTTTGTACTCGGTCATTTCACACCGGCGAGAACCTGTGCGAGGGCGGCAGTCGGGTCAACGGCGAGCCCCGGCCACGGCCCTTCGAAGCTCGCTTGATCAACGGTCACTAAAAGCAGGGCTCGAGATGGATCGGCGTCGGACCCGCGACCCCCGCTTGGCTCCTCAAGGGGCCCAGGGACGTGAAAACACCTGCGGAGCAGCGTGGGCCTCGGGTTTCTGAGGGTGCCTCTTCCAGCAACCCCCGCCCGCGTCTTTTTCACGCCCTCGGGCCCCGCCCTCGGCCCGAGTAAAGGAAGCCCCCTTCCCACCGCTCCCCCGAGCGCTCCCCCTCTAGGGGGCGGCCCGGCCCGCGACCCCTTTCCGCCCCCGGTCTCCCGGGCTCCCCTCCCGCGGGCCCCCACGAAGGCCCCCGCCCAAGGCCTTTGTCTGCAACCGGCCGCCTCCGCCCGACCCCGGCATCCGCGAGACGCCTGCGTGCTCCGAGGCCGGACGCGGCGCACGCCGGAACCTCACCTCCAGCTCCGCGGCCTCCGCTCCGGACAGTTTCGGACCACAGGCGGGAAAAATGCTGGCGACCCCGGAACCGCCATGAACAGCCCCCACCCGGGAGCGGCACTTCCGGCCCCGCCCGCTACGCCATCAGTCGGCGCCCCGGGCGCCCGAGTCCCCGCCCCGGCCACGTGGGCCTCCGACCCGGGAGTCACGCAGCAGGCCGCGCCCCGCCCCGCCCCGCCCCGCCCCGCCCCCCGCGGGCCGGTTCAATAAGGAAAGCGCTAGGTGCTAGTGTCTCAAAAATCAGTAAAACTTTATTCGCTTCCATTCTTTCGCCATTAACATAAAACTGGAGAAAGCAAAAATGTTGTGTGTTTACAAAGATAAACGGCCTCTTTACCCAGAGATGAAAACCTCAAACGACAAGGGGGAAGATAAAAGCGCCCTCCCCCACATCCCCTGAGCTGACCCTTGTCGTCTTAGACAAAGCCTTCAGAACGCTGGCCAGGGACCCTGTATATGGCCAATTCAAGATGAGGGCCAGGAAATCAGAACCATCTGCTCCCGTGATATAAATTCGAACAGAAGCTACACCAAGGGTTAAGTGCCTGTATTTTACAGGACACAGTAACCAGGCAGCTACTTATTAAAAAAAACAAGATTCATTTCAGGCACAACTTTTTTATTTTTTTTTTGTTTTGTTTTTAAATCAGTAAAAGAAACTGGGTCCTAGAAGCTGCAGTGATCTAAGCAGCAGCAAGTTTGTGCATTCATCTTTTTTGTTTTGTTTAAATACGTTTAAATTATCACACTGCTGGCATACCTTATTTGCATGAAATTCTGCACCATACTAATTGTAGTAAAGCTACCCCCCATCCCAGGAAAAAAGAAAACTACTCTGGAAGATAATTTTCACTGAAATCTAACCAAACTTTAAGTGGATCGTGACAAGATTATAAATGATATGAAAAATAACATTTTAACATTTGGCCATCAACTTTAAAAAAACGGTTTGCCTATACAAATTTTTGTAATTTTTAAAGGTAATATATTCTACCCTCATATGGTCCTCAGAATCAAAGCATAATGAACAAGAAAGAAAAAGAATGCAACTGAGTGCTAAGGCAGAACATCTTGCCAGAAATAATTAATGAAGGTAGAGTATATACTAAATATCAAGTGCAGAATTTCATAGGGCCAACGAGATAACAGTCTATTATTTTTCACTTACACAGGCAAAGTGGATTTTGCAATTACCAGTTGCGTTAAATGCACCAAATAAAGCTCCTAAAATTGATACTATAAGGCGCCACCTTAAGTTTTCCAGGCTGCAACTGTGCATAATTTTAAAATGGTTTTCTTAAATTTATTTATTTTTTTAAACATAACATGAGGAAGGTGTTAAAACTGGTGTAATAGCTCAATAGAATAAGTATTCCAGATTTCGGGAGGGATGAGAGGGAGATATTCAGAACCCTTCACCGGTTTCCCCCCAACTTGATCATAGTGGATTGATGATGTGCTTTGTGGATGTGGTTAGTCAATGACACCAGCTTGACGAATCTTTCTTTCTGCGCCAAATCCCTGTGAAAAAATAAAATTGCAGTTAATGACTTGGATGCATGACAGTCACAGAACATTCACCATTCAAAATGAACTTTGAGCAAAAACATTCTTTTAAATCATATCTTATGTTCCTAGAGGAGGAAATCTACAGTACACCCTCAAGCTATGCGCAAAGTATCTGGAAAAGCAAGAAATGTTCTTCTTACTGTGAGCGACCATTATGTGTGGGGCTGAATCAATGTGTAGAAAGTCCTAACTAGTTATAAGCAATACTGAGGGGCTCCTTGTTTCATTAAGCTCTCTGATCTATGTTAAAAGAAGACCAATTTCAAACAAGGCTTAGGCCTCATACCATTGAGTTATCTGGTCCCCTTGGCTGACGAAGAACCATTAGACGAGGAGCACTAGCATCATCCAGGGAGATGTTCTTCAAGCGATTGACCAACCGATCAGGCCGAGGAGCTGCAACAGCCTTGGGGCCCTCGCTGTAATAAAATCAGAAGACGAGAAGCAACATTTGGTGAGAAGAAAGTAAACATCTGAAAAGGAGTGTGTTTTCTACCTAACTGCCCAAATGACTCACTTTTAATGAGGGAGACTCTTGCCTCATCTAGCCAGCTAGAAAGACAAGATAGACAAGTTTGTTTATATATTATGTTCCCTAACTCAAGGTTCTAACTTCATGTTTGAGTGAGGGTTAACCTTAGACTTGTCTGCAACCAGAGACTAGTTTCAAAGATGCATAAAAAACAAGGTAGCAGATATGAAAAACCTTAGAAAAGTGAAATATGAAGTAACTGTTCTAGAGATTTCCAGCTCCTCGCACAACAATGTTGAGGTTTTTTTTTTTTTTAAAGAAGCATATGAATAAGGGTGGCTACACTATAAAAATTTGAATTTTAAGCATCATATAACCTAGAAATGGTTTAATGGGAATTAAAAAACTATTTAAAAAGAAGAAGTATTCAATCTGTTTGTATTAGATAAGAGGTAGAAAGAATCACAAAATAACCAAAAGGCAGCAGAAAAGAAAACTAGGCATGGAAAAGTAAGAAATGTGATAAAACAGAAGCTACAGAAATTAAGAGACAGTCCAGGGAGGTTACTAATCCAACCACAACAAAAAAACTCACCAGACTCGCCAGACATTACAGGCGCTGCACTTGCCAGTGCGCTGATTAAGAATCACTGAGAACTCCACCTCATCTCCTGCCTGAAGCTCAATGCCATCCTGAACTTCTTTCACGTGGAAAAAGAGCTTCTTGCTATCTCCTACTTCGTAGTTAATGAAGCCAAACTGAAATTTTAAAAAAAGGCAGCTAAAAAAATGGGAACATGACACAGAGAAAAACACACCTCACTTTGAATGAAGTACAGTGCCTGACACTTACTAAGAGAGGGATTTATAAAACATGGTATTTTAATGCTGATGCTCCAATCCAGCTGTCTGTGCAGCAAAACTTGTCAGGGAAGAAATATCTTTGAAATCATTGCCATTCACTGTATTCTAAGCTTGACTCAAAGAAAGATCGCCTTGTTCCTTCATATATTATGAACTAAGCTTTTTTTTTTGAGTTGGAGTCTCACTCTGTGGCCCAGACTGGAGTGCAGTGGCCGCTCCCAGCCACCGCAGCCTCGACCTGCTGGGCTTCGGCGATCCTTCTGCCACAGCTTTTCGAGTAGCCGGAATTACAGGCACGCGCTGCCATGCCCGGCTGATTTTTTGATTTATTGTAGAGATGAGGTCTCACCAATTGCCCAGGCGGATCTCAAACCCGCGGACTCAGACAATCCACTCATCTCAGCCTCCCAAAGGCACGGGATTACAGGCTGAGCCACCGAGCCCGGCTGAACTAAGCTTTTTGAATTAAACAAAAGGGCTCTGTTACTTGAACATATACTGTTACTTGAATATATACAATACTGTTTTGTATTATAGGAAATAGCCATACAAAATGTTACAGTCGCTGTACTGATGTTGAAAAATGTTCTACAGATTCTGAATTTTCCTGAGATCTCAGTATTAGACTAGTTTTGTCTAAGTTTATTTTATGAACCTCTTTTTTTTTTAGGTTAGAAAATATAGTTTACTGAGAAACTAAACTAGAAAGAGAGGGAGAGAAGAGATTCACCTCCCTGAGGTAGGGGAGGGGGCCAAAGGCCAGGAAACAGCCTGGCCACAGCTCAGAGAGCACAGGCCACACCAAAGTTTAGCAAGGCAGCGCCCCCCCCGGCCTTTAAGAGCCAAGGGCTCACTCTGTCATCCAGGCTGAAGTGCTGCGGCACATCATAGTTCACTGCAGCCCTGAAATCCTTGGCCTCAAGCCATCTCCCTGCTTCAGCCTCCCACGTTGCTGGGATGACAAGAGTGTACCACGACATATGGCTGATTGACTTTTTATTTTCTGCAGAGACAGGGTCTCACTATGTTGTCAAGGCTGGTCTCAAACTCCTGGGCTTAAGCTATCCTCCCACCTCAGCTTCCCAAAGTGTTGGGGTTATGGGCATGAGCCACTACACCCTGTCCTGGCCTGAACACTTCTAAACATGGTTTCTGTCTTTCTATGGTATGCAGAAGCAGCTCTAAGCAAAGTGTGGAAAACCTTATTGTCCTTCTAGTCCGGAAGTCTCAAACTCATTTTTGCTTTTATGTAGTTAGTTATTACTGCCACTCTTATTTTCTCTTTGCTAATATAGTCCACCTTTTTCTTCTCATGTACTTTTCTATTTTTATAAGCTACTTGTAATCACTGAAAAGGAGTAAAGGAGAAATAAAAACCAAATAAATGTTGACAGTTTCCCCATGGCTAAAAAAAAAAAAGTCAATGTTTTGGCTAATTACCAACTCATAAAGGGATCAAATTCAGATCCAGAGATGCTGGCACTTACCTGATCTTTCACACACTCCACTGTGGCCCGACGCAGGGGTGTGATGTTGTAAGCCATAGTCTGTGCATTTTGGCCCAGGACACACAACTGGAACTTGACACTCTCACCTTTCTGTAGGCAATCCCCTTTGTTGGCCATTCCAACTATGCCAAATGGATAGACCTCACCTTTCATATCCCCTGTAAGGAGAAGCAGATATAAAGTCTAAAAGCTTGTAGAATTTCATAACAGTCCTCTGCTGGTGATCCTAATAAGTTTACATAGCTGCTAAAAATGCAAGTTACCTAAAAATATGTTTATTTTTAATCCTGACAAGTTTCACTTTAAAGCTTAAATGAAATCCTAAATGTTAACTACTGCCATGTAAACAAATGAGAGCTTAATAGCTCATTATCCCTTACCAGGTAACGAACAATATTTTTAATATATATATTCATTCATTCATTCGAGTCAGAGTCTTACTCTGTTGCCCAGACTTACAGCCACCACAACCTCGACCTGCTGGGCTCAGGCGATCCGTCTGTCTCAGCTTTCCAAGTAGCTGGAACTACAGGCATAGGCTACCATGCCCGGCTAATTTTTATGATTTATTGTACAGACAAGGTCTCCCCAAATTGCCCAGGCTGGTCTTGAACCCCTGGGCTCAGGGAACCCTCTTGCTTCAGCCTCCCAAAGTGCTGGGATTACAGGTGTGAGTCACTGTGCCTGGCTCAATGAACAATTTTGAATGGCATTTATAAATTTTTAACGTCACATTATCACTTACAATCCCATCATCTAAATTTTAAGCCCAAATTTACAGCATTAGCCAAACAGCCAAAAATATTTCTGCCCAACACTCCACTGTGCAGTAAACAACTAGCCAGGCATAGGCAAAAAAATGTAGATATATTTCTTTGATATCCCATCTCCTTTGTTCTGATTTTGGCTCCCACAAAGGAACAGGTTCTTTTCTCCTAGATCAGGGGACACAAACTTTTTCTTCAAGGGCCAGAGAGCAAGTATTTTAGATCTGGTCACCCTATCTCTGTGACAACCTCTCAACGCTGCTGTTGTAGTGAGAAAGCAACCAAAGACAATATACAAATGCATGACTGGGGCTGTGTTTGAAGAAAATTTTATTTACAAAAACAGCTGTGCTCTACAGTAAAAAGCTGCTTGGCGGTCAGTGCAGGCTATTGATTAAAACTGTGCCAAAGAGTTCAGCTGCTCATGAATTCAGCATCCTGGTGAACCCACTGATTTAACAAAGGTAAAGTTAAGGAAAACATTGCGAGGGAAGTGGAA